CTTGTTTACTTGTTTACTTGTTTACTTGTTTACTTGTTTACTTGTTTACTTGTTTACTTGTTTACTTGTTTACTTGTTTACTTGTTTACTTGTTTACTTGTTTACTTGTTTTACTTGTTTACTTGTTTACTTGTTTACTTGTTTACTTGTTTACTTGTTTACTTGTTTACTTGTTTACTTGTTTACTTGTTTACTTGTTTACTTGTTTACTTGTTTACTTGTTTACTTGTTTACTTGTTTACTTGTTTACTTGTTTACTTGTTTACTTGTTTACTTGTTTACTTGTTTACTTGTTTACTTGTTTACTTGTTTACTTGTTTACTTGTTTACTTGTTTACTTGTTTACTTGTTTACTTGTTTACTTGTTTACTTGTTTACTTGTTTACTTGTTTACTTGTTTACTTGTTTACTTGTTTACTTGTTTACTTGTTTACTTGTTTACTTGTTTACTTGTTTACTTGTTTACTTGTTTACTTGTTTACTTGTTTACTTGTTTACTTGTTTACTTGTTTACTTGTTTACTTGTTTACTTGTTTACTTGTTTACTTGTTTACTTGTTTACTTGTTTACTTGTTTACTTGTTTACTTGTTTACTTGTTTACTTGTTTACTTGTTTACTTGTTTACTTGTTTACTTGTTTACTTGTTTACTTGTTTACTTGTTTACTTGTTTACTTGTTTACTTGTTTACTTGTTTTTTTACTTGTTTACTTGTTTACTTGTTTACTTGTTTTACTTGTTTACTTGTTTACTTGTTTACTTGTGATCTTGTTTACTTGTTTACTTGTTTACTTGTGATCTTGTTTACTTGTGATCTTGTTTACTTGTTTACTTGTTTACTTGTTTACTTGTTTACTTGTTTACTTGTTTACTTGTTTACTTGTTTACTTGTGATCTTGTTTACTTGTGATCTTGTTTACTTGTGATCTTGTTTACTTGTGATCTTGTTTACTTGTGATCTTGTTTACTTGTGATCTTGTTTACTTGTGATCTTGTGATCTTGTGATCTTGTGATCTTGTGATCTTGTGATCTTGTGATCTTGCTTATTTGTTTGTTTGTTTTTTTGTTTTTTGTTTGTTTGTTTGTTTGTTTGTTTGTTTGTTTATATGTTTATTTTTTTGTTTGTTTGTTTTTTGTTTGTTTGTTTGTTTTTTGTTCGTTTATTTATTTGTTTGTTTGTTTATTTATTTGTTCGTTTATTTGTTTATTTATTTATTTATTTGTTTATTTGTTTATTTGTGACTGCGTTCCCGGATTTTTTAAAAAATATGGGAAGGCAGTCACATATAAAAAAAGTCTAAAAAAAAAAAAAAAAAAAAAGTGGTCTGGCCTTGTAAAAAAAAAGTGATCTGGCTTTTGGCTGCTTAAACCCCAACCACTTGTTTACTTGTTTACTTGTTTACTTGTTTACTTGTTTACTTGTTTACTTGTTTACTTGTGATCTTGTTTACTTGTTTACTTGTTTACTTGTTTACTTGTTTACTTGTGATCTTGTTTACTTGTTTACTTGTTTACTTGTTTACTTGTTTACTTGTGATCTTGTTTACTTGTTTACTTGTGATCTTGTTTACTTGTGATCTTGTTTACTTGTTTACTTGTTTACTTGTTTACTTGTGATCTTGTTTACTTGTTTACTTGTTTACTTGTGATCTTGTGATCTTGTTTACTTGTTTACTTGTTTACTTGTGATCTTGTGATCTTGTGATCTTGTGATCTTGTGATCTTGTTTACTTGTGATCTTGTGATCTTGTTTACTTGTGATCTTGTTTACTTGTTTACTTGTGATCTTGTTTACTTGTTTACTTGTGATATTGTGATCTTGTGATCTTGTGATCTTGTGATCTTGTGATCTTGTGTTCTTGTTTATTTATTTTTTTGGTTTATTTATTTATTTGTTTGTTTGTTTGTTTATTTGTTTGTTTATTTGTTTGTTTGTTTTTTTTTGTTTATTTATGTGTTTGTTTGTTTGTTTTTTGTTTGTTTGTTTATTTGTTTGTTTTGTTTATTTATGTGTTTATTTGTTTATTTGTTTATTTGTTTTTTTGTTTATTTGTTTTTTTGTTTATTTGTTTTTTTGTTTATTTGTTTTTTTGTTTATTTGTTTTTTGTTTATTTGTTTTTTTGTTTATTTGTTTATATGTGACTGCCTTCCCGGATTTTTTAAATAATATGGGAACGCGGTCAAATATAAAAAATACTTATAAAAAAGGTCTGGCCTTTTTTAAAACTTTTTTTATATGTGACTTCGTTCCCGGATTTTTTAAAAAATATGGGAAGGCAGTCACATATAAAAAAAGTCTAAAAAAAAAAAAAAAGTGGTCTGGCCTTGTAAAAAAAAAAGTGATCTGGCTTTTTGCTGCTTAAACCCCCCCATTCCTGATTATGTCTATTTTTTTTTATACAAGTGTTCTTGTGTTCTTGTTTGTCTATTTATTTTGTCTGTTTGTTTATTCATTTTTTTTTTCTGACTTATAATTTATTATTGCCCGTTTTCTGTGTCGAACTCTGGTCCTCCGTCTGCTGTTAGGTTATTATACTGTTTGACCAAAAAAAAAATCTGTTTCTGATTGAAGTTGTGTTTATGATAAAGTTCGTTTTGTATTTGTGGATAATAGGATTTAAATGGGAAAAGACATAAGGTAATTTTATCACAAAATAAAACTGAAAAAACTTTTCTAAACTAAAATAATAATCATCTTTATATATCATGAATATCTTGATAATTGTGTTTGAAAAGGTCCATCTATTCGTGGGTTTAAATGAATCTTTGGATCATTGTCTGCTGAGGTTTAAGACAAAAATTAATGTGAAGATCACGTGATTTTTTCAAAACTGTGTGATATGTGGTTCATTCAAAAATCAAAATATCATCAAAAAGCTCGCTTAGCTCAGTTGGTTAGAGCGTGGTGCTAATAACGCCAAGGTCAACAGTTCGACCCTGTTAGTGAGCAATTGCTTATTTTTTGTGTTTGTTTCATTTTTTTTTTTTTTTTTTTTTGTAGGGAAGCAATCGGAGATTGCTTCAGTTAATTTATTTATACACGTCGCAGGGACGGGTTTGTTTCATTTTCACACATTTTTTTTGTATCGTTGTCGGGATCCGTATCACGCAGTCACAGTGTTACAATCCCATTGAGCAGCAACGTTTACTTCGATCTTTTAATAAATATTCTGCCTGCTCAAGTTAAATTACAACCTCTCGGACGTATATGTTTCAGATTTTATTATTATTACTTCCTATTATTTTAGCCAGATCGTTTATCAACCTTATTCATACAAATCCCTTACTAGCCTAATTATTCATCCAAATCTTTTTATCAAAACTATTATTTTATATATATTTTAGCCTCAACTTAGCGAATACATGGGAGACGTTACAGGCCCCGTGTCCTTTTCAGAAAATAAATATCAAACATTCTTCTACTTAAATAAAATCAATCAATTTATAACTTGTTTCTTTATCCGTATTTGAGTCATTACTATTGTCGCTATCATAGGCATTCTCATGAAATTCTTCACCCATTTTCATGTCATTATCACCAGCATCAGTGAGAAAAGCTTCTGTAGCAAAACCACGATAGCTGTCGAGTCTTGATTTCTTTTGAGTATGAGGTGTTGTGATATAGAATAGACGTGTAATAAAAGATATGAAAAACAAGTAGAGTAGTTTGAGACTGTTTACAATATGTTTATTAGAGTAAAAAGAGTAGGAGGATTTAGCTATTCTATTATTTGAGAGGGTATTTATATTTGTTGAAATTCGGTTTGAAGGGTTTTATAAAATAAAATAAAAGGCGATAAATTAAATGACAACGAACAAAGGGGGTTTATTCTTTATTCAAAATTAACTGAGAGCTCCATATTTCTAAACTATGCGACTATTTATATTATTACTAAAGATTTGTTAATGACATAATGTTATAGTATTGTTTAGTCTATATATCAGCTCTAATGTCTAGCGTGATATATAGTTTATTATTTTATGTTTTTAGTTTTGCATGATGTAAGTAGAACAGTGTAGGTGTTTGTATCTGAGATATGACAGGTACTGGATTACCCTGTCATAGCGCTCAATCGAGGTAACACAATGACTTAATTCAATTATGTACCGACGATCTTTTACCTTTATTTATTGCCCAAAGCACATAATGTAAGGTATGAATATATACAAGATCTGTCATATATTCTTTATTATAAATACAAGAGTCAGCCCGGATTATTACTCATATCTGTTCTGGTTTAATAGGTGTAGCTACTCAACTATTAAACATATGATGCAACATCGCTTTGCTTCCTACAAGTACTTTACTAATATAGTGTCAATTTTAATTATTCAATCTAAACTTGTAATAGGTTTTGGATTGAATTATCAGAATTTAGTGTTAATTCTACATCATGTATTTCCCATAGTCCGATAATTATTTTATAACATTGTATTGTGTATCAATTCGTATTGATATGTCAATCTTTAAGTAATATAGTCATTTATTGTTTAAATGAGAGTTATGTAATATCCTTTTTATATGAGTAGTATAGGTCAAATACAACAATATTCTTTATTTTACAGACTAACGAGTTATTGATGTGATATCATAATAGAAAGATATCAGCATGTTATTAATAAGATTTATATGTTTCTCACTACTTTAGTGTGAGAATTCACTATCTTTATGATTTTACTGTTTAGTGTGGGAAACCACCTCTTTATCTTTTTATTGTCACTATTATGATTTCATGCACTTCCTATTTTATTTGATATTTAAATCTCAGTGTCTGGATGTAACACATTACTGCTTTATTTACTATGCTAGATCACCACATGAGGCAAACGATGTTGAATAACACTAGTAGCAAGAGCATCTGAAATCCATTGTTTTTCTACAAAAAATTTAGCAACACTAGGTACTAAATATTCACGTACAAAGCTTAGTGTATTATAGCATCGGCCTTGATGTAAAGCAGAAGCTAAACGAGCACGTTGAGGTACTGGCATATCACTATACTTGGGATCGGCAACATGAATCGGGTCAAGAGGATCAAATGCTTCAATAGATGCTATTTTACAATCGGTAAGGATCTGTAAAAAGACGGGCTTATATCCTTGGTGAAGTAGAACACCAATTACTGATCTAGCAGGGAAAGAGATATCAACACCCAAAAGTGAAAACTTGTGACGCACATCCTTACGATTAATATTACGTGACCTGTGTAAGTACACGTAATCATAGCCTGAAGGAGTACCAGGAGTGGCAGGAGCAGTAAAGGCACGAGAAGTAGCAGAGCGTTTACGGTCAGAGATAGGAGCCTTAGGCTTACGCTTGTTGTTTTTTGACACTACGTCAACCCAGATGTTATCCTTAGCAGCAGCCGTAGTGGTGGTGGTGGTGGCAGTGGTAGTAGTAGCAGGCTTGTTGGTAGGAGCAGTAATAGGGGTAGTAACCTTATTAGTGCTGTATTTACTAGCAGCAGATTCACGTGGAGGGAGAGAGCCTGTGGCGGGTGTAACAGCATCGATATCCATAGCTAAACCGGCGGTAGAGCCTTGGAGGGATTTGAGAATGTCCTGAATACGGGCCATTTCAGAACTGAGTCTTCGGTTCTCCGAAAAAAGTTGCTCGATCAGAGTAGCGTGCCGGGCCGCGGTGTCATCAAATTTTGAGTTTAAATTTGCCATGGCGGAACGAACTTCCAAGAAAAGATTTTCAACTGTGGGTGCATTCATCTTGTTCAGGTTGAATCCACAAAAAGTTGATGTTTTTCAAAAGGGGATATTACAAGCAATAAAAGTGATATGACTTTGGGGATTTTGGATGTAACTTCCTTGAATGTTGTTTATACTAGCTGTTTACTTTTTATAGACGGATGGAACGTTCTAGAAAAAAAAATTATTTAAGCGTTTCAATGTATTAAAAAGGTTTTAGGAGAAAAATAAGAGTGCCTAGCTAGCTCAATCGGTAGAGCGTGAGACTCTTAATCTCAAGGTTGGGGGTTCGACCCCCCGTTGGGCTTACTTCTTTACTTTTTTTGTATTGTCGGAATTCGTATCACGGAATGTGAATTTTTTTTATTTTCTTTTAATTCCTTGTAAAACTCTTTCTCTTATTATAACTTTTTGGTATATAATTCATTTTTATTTTTAATTCATGAAAACTTAGTTGGCCAACTTGAAACCTGGTACTCACGCAAGAACTTACTTGGAACCTTATCCCCCTTTATTAATTTCTTTATTTTTTTCTTCTCTTAATTTTCTTTCTCTTTACTTCTTTTATATTACTATTACATCCTCTACAGTTGTAACACCATTATTTTATTTTATTTTATTTTGTTACTCCATTATATTTCAGCTCACTTTTACCGTATCACTTTTCATATTTCATTTTCAGTTATGAATCTTTTTTTTTTTTTTTTTTTTTTTTTTAAAAAAAAAACGCATTTCTTTTCTATATTTACTTTGAACACGGCTGTCAAATTCGCTTATTTAATTTTATACATCATACTCCAGTATATCCTTTACCTTAGTTTTATTTTCAGAACTATAATCCTTTCTTTTTTCTATTTAATTATCTAATATTATTATTTCCTTTTCCTATTAGTTTATCCGTCTATCAAGACATCATCTTATTTTATTTAGAAATATGCTTATCACAAAATACCTTGTTAGTTAGAAGTTAGTACTTTGATCACCAAACAATTTGCTCGAAAAAGATCTTTATCATTTTAAATATCAAAAAAAAAAAAAAAAAGAATTACATCATATCTTGAATTTGATATTTATCTAAGAAGGTCATAACCGATGCTCTTTAGCATAAATACTACAGATCATAAAATAGAAATGGTAATAAATCTATCTTATTTTTGCTATAATTTTTTTATTCTATATCGTACAGAAGATTCATATCTCATCAGATCCCTTAAATTATCTTTATTCTTTTTTTTTTAACTCATTGTAAACTTTGCTTTTATGTTTCTAGTCGTATATATAATTAGCTTGTAATGACCCATGAGTTCGATTACAACTACTTAAATATATTTACATCAATACCTAATCATTAATTCCCGACTAATTCTCTTTTATATCATTTATGTACTTTTTCATTTTTTTATTTGACCGTCAATAAATAAATGAAGTGAATGAAACAAGTGTTATTTTCTATGATCTCATAAAAAGTGGATACAGTTGAATACTAATAATGGTATGAGTGAATTTAAATAAGAAAAATTCTCAGATAGACTACATGTAATCATCTGTCTAGTGTGTAAACGATTATCACAAATAAAAAAATACACACACACATATTTGACAAAAATCTGGATATAAGTTTATGCAAAAATATGTATATATAATTCTTTTTTAGATTACTTCAAATAGCAATAGTTTAAGCGTGGGAAATTTAAAAGAGCTTTTTTTTAATGTGTTGAATTAAAACAAGATTGAAGAAAGAAAAAAAGAAGAGAGATTTATAATTTTATCGAAGCTGGCGCACAAGCGTATTTTTTATGATTCAATTGTTTGTTTATCTTTGTAAAGCCCTGAATATCTTTTTTTTTTTTTTTTTTTTTTTTTTTTTTGTATCTTTTTGAGAGCGTGGGATTTAATGCGGATAAAAAGAGTAACAAAGAAGTTTTAATTCGGCTACGCGTATTTGAGTAATTATTCAACTTGAAACTTATTCAAGGTCTTTGCAGGATTTAAAAATCATTGTGATAGCTAAAATTAAAAGAAAGGAGAGGTACATTCATTTTATCCAGCAAAAATTAAAATTCGCTTTAATGATATATAGTGTCTTTTCAATTACAAAAGACCTTTTTGACTTTCTAACTTGTGACAGTGTGGTTTATTATCATGAACCAAAGAACAACCTTTACAAAAACTAAATCGTATAGATGACATATGAAGTATTAGATGTATGTGGGAAAAGAAGAGTGGAAGGGGCGACTTGCAGCATGTGAA